CCACGGTCTCAGCCACGTACAACAATAAACACAGAAGGGGAAGACCACTAAAGAATGAAGTGGTTATCACAGAATGGCGCGGGATTCCTACTCTTGTCTCCACTTCACTCCTCGGAGGCAGGGAGGGAGGCCGCGGGCCGGCCTGGGTTTAGAAGGTCTCTTTGGCAGTGTGTAGAGGAAGAATGCAGGGGTGAAGCGGGAAGGATGGAGACGTGAGGCAGAAAGCAGCTCCTAGCAGGCTGGGCCGGAGCCTCGGCCATGAGAAAGGACAGAGTGGAGGCTTGACAAGGGGGGAGGGCCCGGTCAGCTCCAACAAAAGCACATTATGTAAGAGACACAAAAGCGGAGCAGAATCCCCAGACACTTCACCCCGGGGACTGACCCAGACCTTGGCTAAGGGCAGCAGCCCAGGTGGAGCCAAGCTGCTTCTGGCCAGCTTGGTCTCTCTGCAAAGCCCAGGCAGCAACTAGGAAGCCACACACCTGGGTGGGGGGGGGTGACCAAAAGCGCACACCTCCAGCCCTTCACTTCGGGGACCTACAGCCAATTCCCAAAGATGTGAGGTAGATTTTTAAAATCAGTTTGGAAAAAGGCATTCATTGTTTTGCTCTGTAAACAAACGAGATGCTTATGGACCAACAGAAAAGGGTGTCAAATGTTTATAGCCTTTTCAGAGGCTATGCATCAACACAGGACCCAGGAGTTCCATTTCGAGGTCTCTGTGCTTCTGGGACCAGGCATGGGACATGGGCAAAGAGGTTTGGGTTGGCAGCACAGAGATTACTAGCCAAATATTGGAAACAACCCAAGTGTCCAGTGACAGGGGACCCGGTAAATAAGCCACGCCATGCACAGAGAAACCCACCGACAGGCGATCGGGCAGACCCATGCCTTCTGACCTGGAGAGACATTCACAACATACTGAGTGAAAAAGGCAAACCACAGACACATATCATCGGACCTCCTTTTAGAACCAGAGCTAACTACACGTGCACACAGAGCTGTACGTCTGGAAAGAGTGACACGCCAAACTTGAGGGGTTTCTTCTGGGAGTGGAATTGAAGGGAGGGAAGAGAGAGGGAGCGCCCGGTCTTCTACCTCACACCGCCACATCGTGTGCGTGTGCGCGGTGCTCCGACCAAACAACGTCACCAAGAGTTGGGAAGGATTGGGGTGGGGGGCAGGCATGGCTACTAATGAGTAGAGGGTCCTTTCAGGGTGATGAGAATGCTTTAAAATTGATTGTGGTGATAGTTGCACAACTCTGAATACACACAAAAGAAAACATTGACTTGTACACTTTAAGTGGATGAATTGTCTGGCAGGTGAATTATGTTTCAATAAGGCTGCTATTTGAAAAAAGAATCAGCAAGGAGAAAGTGAGAAGGCAGAAGGCAGGCGCGTAGGTACGGGCGGACTCCCTCACTAGCCTCTAGGTAGTAAACTTCAGGGTAGTATGTGCGAGTGGGGGGGTTCCTTGGCCCCCACAATTTCATCCTGGTCAATAGAATTCCTAGAGCAATGGCAAGTCCTTTAAGGCCGTCCTAGAGGGAGGAGGGCCCCTCCAGGCAAGGCCAGGTTTCCTGCCAACGGCGCAAGACCCAGTCCCTACTTGTACATCTTGAGCAACAGCGAGCTCACTCCCTCACCTGCTCCATCTTGGCTTATGTGGCTCAGACCATATGCAAAGAATTCCCCATATAGCCCGGCTGGTGTGGCTCAGCGGTTGAGCGTCGACTCATGCACCAAGAGGTCGCTGGTTCGAATCCCAGTCAGGGCACATGCCCAGGTTGTGGGCCGGATCCCCAGTGGGGGGCATGTAGGAGGCGGCCCATTGATGTTCTCTCTCATCAATGTCTCTATTTCTCTCCCCCTTCCTCTCTCTCTAAAAAATCAATAAAGAAAATTATTTTTTTTTAAAAGAATTCCTCATACAGCTCCGACATGGGCCACCCAGACACTGCCATTCTCTTGCCCTAATCCTATCCCGTGGGCCTAACCCCCCCTCTCCTTGTCCACTTCCTTGTAGCTTCCCCCACAACTGCCCTCCCACTCCAGATAACCCACATCCATCCCACATATATGCCAACATGGAAGGAACCCAGTCATCAAGGTTTCTGAACACCCCAGTGAACTCTTAAATCCAGAGACCCTGACCCCAGGGACTGCACAACCCCTGTTTTAGGTTTAGGACCTAAACCACAGCTACAGTTGCCACCTTCAAACTCCACACACCTGGCCACTCTCCTTGCCCACCCGAGAACCAGTAACAGAGAGGGAATGACAGTCTCTACAAAGCAACTGTTTGCTGAGCACTTACTGCGCCCCAATCGCTGGGCTGAGTTTCTTACCTTATCAAATCCTACTAGTACCTAGTAGGAAGGGACTATTATTCCCACTTTACAGATAAGAAAATTGAGATTAAGATGCTGGCCCAAGGTCCTGCCAACTAACACACTGCGGAGTCAATGTGAGGACCCTGAGCTGGCTCAAGTCTGGAGGAGATTTGTGGGGAAAATCTGGGATCGCTCGGCTCTCGGAGCTGGAAGGGACATCAGTCATCAGGTAGCACAACTCTTCAGTTCTCAACTAGGGAAACTGAGACCCAGAGAGAGGGGCTGCCCAGGTTACACAGGCCTCCTGGCTCCCAGACCAGGGCTCCAGGGCTCTTTCCTCCGAGCAAACTCCCTCATAAAAGCAGGAGGAAATCATCCTGCATCAGCCCCAAGGGGCCCTGGTGTGAGAACAAGCAAGCCCCTGCTTGCCAGAGGCTTTGAAATCCCAGGATGAAAGGCACAGTGACAGCAAAACAGCACCGTGGGCAGGAGCACGCCTGACCCCTGCCAGGACTTGCCAGCCGGCATTCACCTGCTCACCTGCTCGGGGGCGGGCCAGTCAAGCCACAGAATTCTAACAGGCCTTGGAGCTCAGAGCACTGTGTGTGTGTGTGGGGGGGGGGGTGTTCCAAACCCTGACGTTTCTACAGGGGCGGCCCCAGGTTTCCTGGGCGAAGAACCAGGCCCCAGATAGGGAGGGCGCTGGAATTTTAATTGTCTGGCATGAAAGTGCCCACTGCTCCTTGGATGGGGAGAGGAGGGTGCAGGATCACTGGAGGTGGCAAAAGCATGCCCTCATTCCCCCCCCAGCAGAGGTTTCTAAGGAAGCTCACTACCTTGGCAAGGGCTGGAGGCGTGCTGGCTTCCTTTCCTTCTAAGCTGCTACCCCTACACTTCAGGAGCCCCTTCAGGTGAGCTTGGACCAGGAATCTAAGGCATTTGAAGGGGGTTATTAATAGCACTGAAGTGTTGAAAAGAGGGAGGCCAGCAGGCTCAGAGTGGGCACAACCCTCTTCCACCCAGCCTGGTATCCACAAAACAAACCCAACCCTGTCCAGGAAAGGACACTTCACCTTTTGTGGTCTTAGCCTCCTCCCCTGTGCATGGTAGGGGGAGGGGGGGGTTCTGGCAGTTCTCAGCCCAGGAGGTGGGAGGATGGGGAGAGCCAGAGTGGGTGTGGGGAAAGGAAAAATCCCACTGAAGAAAGTGAAGCACACCCCACCCAAGCTGGGTGAGGGGCCCCAACAGGAGGTGGTGAATGGATGGACTGTTACAGAGCCCCAGGAGGCTGCCACCGACAGGGAGGGGACAGGAAGACTCCGCCCTGGCCTTCCTCCTCCCTGAGTCCTTGTCCTACAAGCAACAGTTCCCAGACTTAACCCCCTGCTGGACCCAGGCAGCAGAGGGTCTGACTCATTTCTACATCACCCTCATCGAGGGCCAGCCCCAGCCTCTGATACAAAGGGGGAGCTTACGCCATGGGCTCAGGACCACAGTTACCTGACAAACCTTCCCCAGCACCTTCTTTGTGCCTAGAGGGGGTGGGACCCGGAGTTAAGGGCCACCTGGTCCCTGTTCTCAAGGGGTACTATCCAGCAGAATACAGCTTGTGAAATTTCTCTATGAGACACATTAAGATAAGTGTGTAAGCAGACACAGTGCTCTGGGCACATCAGACAGGGTGAGGCAAATTCAGTGGAGATGAATGGTCTCCTCTTTCCATAGGCTGCCCCCGCACCCTACAGGGACCAGCAACCTGTCATTGGTGCCTCCTCTGTGTAAACTAGCTTGCTTAAGTCTCTCAACAACTCATAAATAAAGAAGAAATCATTCACCCCGTTTTAAAGAGGAGAAAACTGAGGTGCCAGGACATTAAGAGACTTGTCCAAGATCTCATGGCTGGGAAACAGACCCCGGGGTTCCACCCAGGTAGCTCCCCCAGGGTGGAGAGGGGAGCCACAGAACTGAGTTTCCCAGGCAGCCCGAGAGTCTCACCCTCTTTCCCTTCTCTGGGGTTAGGGGAGGAGGAACCCGGGACTCTGCTGCAGTCACTGTGTTTCCCTGGGGAGCAGCAGGAACACCCTGCTGAGCCTGAGCCAAAGGACAGGGGTTCTGACCCACCCCTCCTGTGCACCCCATCTATTTCTAGCCCCACTCCCCAGGCTCAGTCCCAAGCATGGATGGGCTCATCCCTGGAAGTCTCAGCCACGTGTACTGGGGCTGGAGCTGGGGCAGGGAGAGCTGGGGACTGGGACAGTTAGGGAAGACGGTCTGGACACGCTGGCCGAGTGGGCCTGGAATGCTTCCGGGCTGGGATAAGATACCCGAGGTGGGGGTGAGACTGCGACCCCTCCCACAGCTCGATTGGAGTAGTGTGTTGGGGATCCGATCCGATGGGACCAGCTCCGTGGGGATTCCTTTGGAGGGCAGGGGTTTTCAAGTCCCCTCTGGAGGGGGAAGGGTGAGCTCTGAAGAGGTTGGGAAGGGGCGCCCAGACGTGGAGGAAACAAGCTTGGGCTTCGGACTTGGCCCCCAGCCGTTCCCGCCCTACCCGGGACCTGGCTCTCGGAGACCCCAGCCCCAGGCGACCGGCCGGCCCGGGTGGGGGCGTGGCCCAGGGCTCCTGTTGGACCCCGGGAGCGCGCGGCGCGGCGCGGGACTCACCTGCGATGTGCTGGCGCCGGGCGTCGTCCAGGTGCGTGGACAGCACGTCCCCCATCGTGAAGGAAAGCCGCGGCCCGATCCGCCCGCCACCCGCCGCTGCCCGCGCTGCTCAGGCGGACGCCGCTGGCGCCATGGAGCCCGGCCCGCCCTGCTCCGCCGCTCCCGTCGCCCAGGCTGCGGCCTCCACCCCGATCGCGCTCCGGCTCCGGCCGCGTCGGTCAGGGGCAGCCTCAGCCCCGCCGCTCCCCGCCCCGCCCCGCCCCGCCCCGCCAGGCTCCGCCCCCGGGTCGAGCCCCGCCCCCTCCGCGGCCCCAGGCGGGCGGGCGGGGCCAGGGGCCAGGGGCGCCGGACTGCCAGCGAGACAGAGACAAAGAGCAGATCGGAGAAAAGGGGGGACCGGGGAGAGACTGAGAGAGGCGCACCAGAAGCGACCGAACCGAAGAAAGAGATGGGGATGGGGGGTCATCTGAAAGAACGGGGGTTGCCCTGGGTGTCACTCCTGCCCTTCCCTGCGCGTGAAGAGAACCACGCGAGGAGGACTCGGGGGACTGGTAGCGGACACTAGGCCGAAGTGCGGGAGCTCAGCGCTCGCGCCCCATTCCCACCTTCTCTCCCCTGCACCATGCCCTCCTGCCCCCAGCCCCGCCCGCGCTGCCATTCTCAGGAAGTTCTCTGGCCTCGGTCCGACCTGCCTCTGAAGGTGTGACCTCCAGTCTTGCACAATAATGCAGGAATCGGGGAGGGAGCAGGGACGGCTCCTGCTCAAAGGCATTCCTGGTCCCAGTGATGGCAGGACATTTCTCAGGCTCAGCATATAGGTATTTCCCTGGGGAGGTGGCTCGTGGGACAGGCCAAGTGAGGAATGGAAAAAATAATAGCTCTTTACAGTTTGCCTAAGACTCAGATTCAAAACCCACGGACCCGTAGGCATGGACTTAGGATGCCAGGCCTGCCAGGCTGGGGTTGGGTGGATCACAGGTACCTGAGGAATGTGTTTCAACCCTACCCTTGGGACCTCCCAAGGTGGATAGATGGGTTAATAACCATGATTCCCAGATCATGGCCTGGGGTGGCAGAGCCCTTCCTTGGCTGCTGATACTCAGACCTCTACTGCACCCAAAGGGTCATCCAGTTTCTGCTTGCTTACCCTGGTGACAGCACTCAGCACTTCTGCATGCATCCCACCTGTAATTAGAGAGCTCTTATTGTAACTGTGACCGAGGCAGAAAATTGTGCTAATAAAAGTTAACATTACCGAACACAGGTACTCTGTCCTGTCAGCGCCACAGAAGAGAGATTTGAAGCTGAGTAATGTGATGAGGACACTCAGTCATGCGTTAGGTGGCTTACTGGGCTTACCACTGTTTCAACAAACAGATGACAAACACCTTCTGCTTGCCGGGCCCTGTGCAAGATGCTGGGGGTGAAACGGGAGGAAGCCAGGCTGCTCTACCCTCTCTGTGACCCAGCACAAGTGGCATTACTCTGAACCTCAGTTTCCTTATCTGTCAAATAAGAATAATGACACTTTGTTGTGAGGATTAAGTGAGAAAACAAAGTGGCTAGCACAGTGCCTGGTACAGAACCAGTCATACAGAACCCACCATTCATCACAGTCCCTGCCCTCAAGAACTTATAGAAGCTTGAGGAAAATTATGGGGGGAGTAGTGCCAGAGCTACAAGTTGAAAAACCAGAATTTTGAGAGCAGATACTGGGGGCAGGCATTCCAGAGAGCGGGGATGGCATAGAAGGAGGCGCAGTCTTTGAAGAGCAGGATGTATTCACGCAGCAGATTCATCAGGTGGAGTTGAAGTCAAGCTGGCAGGGATTACTTATTTCCTTTTACAGAGAAGGAAACCGAAGCCCAGAGAGGGAAAGTAGCTTGCCGAAGTCACACAGCAAGGCAGAGGTCGAGTCCGACCAGAAGCCAAGTCCCCTGATAACCAGTGCCTGGTTCCCTTAGAGCAACCAGAAGCAAGTGATCCTACCAGCCTCATTTTATTTTTCCCATGGCCAAAATTATAGGGCCTGGAAAGGCCTGCTCTGCCCTGGGAGGGGGTAGCTGGCATAGCTGGCACTGAGCACCTTAGTGTGTTTTCTCAGCCATATTAAAGGCCTGGGCCATTTGGGATAGAGGTGGGGCCACAGCAGCCTTTGGCCAGACCTCATGGTGCACCCAGGCCCATGAGCCTGGAACACCGACAAACTTGCCAGCATGCCAGGCCTCTGGCCCAAGAACCCTCCCTCTCGGCTTTGGAGACCCTCTGCCATATGTCACCTTACCACTCTGGGCATCCATGTCCTCATATGTGAGAGGTAAGTGAGACCCTGAAAGTGGAAAGGCATTAGCAGCTACAGGGCACTCTACATGCCTGTGAACAGCTCCCCCTGACCTTGGGGCTAGTCCCTTCCAATCAAGATTCATTCATTTCACACACACCCAAAATCTATTATCTAGAAATGGGGTGGAGGGGAAGTGACTGCAAACAAGTCAGAAGGGAACAGTTGAGGAAGATGGAAATAGTCTATGCCTTGGTGTAATGGTCATACAGGAGTCAAAACTCAAATTATACAAATTAATAGATATATTTTTTAATGTTTTTTTTATTAGAGGGAGAGAGAGAAACATCAATGTGAGAGAGAAACTGGGGATTGAGCCCACAACCCAGGCATGTGCCCTGAGAAGGAATCGAATCAGGACCTCTCAGTCCATGGGACGATGCTCAATCCACTTAGCCACACCAGCTGAGCTAGATGCATTTTATTATATGTAAATAATAGTTCAATAAAGTTGATTTATAACTGAAAAAACAGTCCTGCCCGGTTTGGCTCAGCGGCTAGAGCTTCGGCCTGGGACCAAAGAGCCCCAGGTTTGATTCTGGCCAAGGGCATGTACCTCGGTTGCAGTTCGTCCCTGGCCCCAGTTGGGGACATGCAGGTGGCAACCAATCGATGTGTCTCTCTCACATGGATGTTTCTTTCTCTCTCTCTCTCCCCCTCCCACTCTATCTGAGGATAAATGTAAAAATGTCCTCAGGTGAGGATTAAAAAAAACTAAAATAAAACTGAAAAAACCTATAGAGCAGCCGTGTGTCAGGCGACACACTGCAAGTGATGGTGACACATCAGCATACAAGATAATCAAGGTCTTCGCCCTTGCAGAGGTTATGGTCTCATTATGTTCTGGAGGGAGAAAGACAGGACACAAACAACATGGCTGCAGAGTGCGATAAACATTAAGATAAAAAAACAGATCGAGGGGGTCGAGTGACAGGTGTGGGGGTGCCTCCTAGGAAGGTGGTCTAGGAAGGTCTCCCTGAGGAGGTGACACTTGGAAACCTGCTTGGCAAGAAGAAGCCTGCTCCGGGAAGGTCGGGGAATGCTGCCATTTGTGGAGCAGGGACACGGGGAACCACGGGGAAAGCAGCACCAGGAGCCGCTGCCTCACCCGTAGTTCTCACAATCTCCCTGTGGGAAGAATCACCCACTGCGGAAAAACGTAAAAGACGATATTCTACTGTATGCACATAGCAATCCTTGTTTAAACACTGGATGGGAGGCATGCCAGGTAGAAGTGTCAGTGGGAAGCCCTGGCCGGTGGCTCAGCCGTCTCCATACGTCAAGGTTGTGGGTTCCATCCCTGGTCAGGGCACATACAAATATCAACCAGTGACTGCATCAATAAGTGGGACAACAAATTGATGTTTCTCTTTCTCTCTCTCAAATCAATCAATCAATCAATTTTATTTGAAATAGTGTCAGTGTAAGAAAAGTCCTTAGGGATCCTGTGGCCAGACAGCTATTTCGAGACAATTATAGGGAAGAGAAGAGAGGGGTCCCTACTGAGGATGGGTGGGACCAGTGGGAGACTCCCGGAGCACCAAAGCACGGAGTTGTTTTACTTGATTCTGGGAAGATTGTAAAGTTCTTCAGAAGTTGTCAGCATCCCACTACGTTATGTTAGTAAGCCAGGCCAGTTACGATCTTTGGGTGGGGGAAGAATGACATTCTTTAAAGGAAAGAAAAATGAATCTAGTCATCAGTATTCTATGAGGAAGCAGAAAAGATGAAGGATTCCAGGAAATTAGACATCGGAAGAATTTCTCTGCTCTATAAATTTGGGAACCCCTGCCCTTACACTTGAGGCTGTTTTGTTTTCTTCATTTTCAAAATGCATTTGTTTATTTTCCTCCCCAGGCAGCCATGCATTATAAACCATAAGCACGTGACCGCCACATGATTCCTCAGTAAGACCAGGGCTTTCTGGATCTGACGGCTGGAGCAGTTCTAGGAGTCAAACCTTAAAGCTTTCCCCACAGCCACGTGTACCTCTGATGCTTGGGTTACCGAACACAAACTCGCTGGATAACTTGTCCTCAACATAGTCCATTTCTGTTCCTTAGCTGTGCTTTCTTTTCGCTGACTGCTCTGGAACACCTTCTTCATCAGAATCTCCTTTTGTCTTTGTATGACCTGGAGTGTAAGCAAGGCCATTGCCACCCTTGTCTCGGACACCAGCTTTCAAGCCTACGTGTTCAGGCTTGTCTTTAAGAAGTTGTTCTGGCCCTGGCCAGTTTGGCTCAGCGGTTGGAGTGTCGGCCTGCGGCCCAGAGAGACCCGGGTTCGGTTTCCGCTAAGGGCGCGTACCTCGGTTGCATTTTGTCCCCGGCCCTGGTTGCAGGTGGTGGCCACTCGATGTGTCCCTTTCACGTGGATGTTTCTCTCTCTCTCTCTGTTCCTCTCTCTCCCTCCCACTCTACCTGAACACAAATGGAAAAATGTCCTAGGGTGAGGAAAAAAAAAAAAGAAAGAAAGAAGTTGTTCTGTGATGTTTACTGCTGAGAGGTCAGGGTGAGCACAGCCAGTGGACTGCGCCTAGCTTGCTGGCAACCCTGGCAAGCTAGGGAGGCCCCCATCCTCGCCGCCCCTGCACCCCTGCGTCTCGGGCCAGACCTTGGCCGCCTCTCCCCATGGACACTGATGCATTCGCTTGAGGCTGTTGTGATATTCAGTTTCTGGTTCTGAGTAATTAAAACATCTTTTTCATGAATGTATTGGCTATTGGTAGAATTTTTAAATAATTTATATCCTCTGCCAGCTTTTCTA